ATATATATATACCCATATATCATCCTAACCGTCATTTTGTTCATAACTTATTAATGAACTATATTCTTTTGAGTGGTCGAAAACTTAAAAAACCTAATTTTTTTTGTTAGGAATGGGACCTTCACATACCTGGAACAATCCTGGTGTCTCGTTCCGTAAGTACTTTTAGTGATGAAATTGAATCCCTGTTCTTATAACGTATATTACAAACTCAGTAGACGATGACCTTAAACGTCCAAAATTAACTGCAATTTTTTAAGTTGAGTGTGTGTATTCTGTTGACGTTTTACGTCGTTCGTTGGGTAGGCCAGAGCGGGGTCCCTTAATCCTGATTTTGTTCAAATCAAGGTCTATTCAAAGAAAAAATAAGAAAAGAGTTATTCTTAAATCAGTTGTTTATTTATTTGAACGCATATTGAGATCAAAAAACAACAATATATAATAATATGCTGCGTTTTGCTTAAAAGCTACGAAAAGATAATAAAAATTAGAGGTGCGGTCTTTTTTAATGAAAAGCATGATGATTGAAGTTTCTGTTCCACTCTTGACTAGGTGTTCGTTATTAATCTTGAACAGTTCGAAAATTTTTACCGATAACTTTCATAACAGAAGTTGCCAGATTAAGAACAGAATGGGCCATAACCTATAAAAGTAGTAGAGGAACCCGGGGTTCCGTTTGGGAAAAAGATTTGTTATTTCTTACGAGCCAGCATGTCATAGACACTTGACGTTCCGGAGCAGCAACTCAAACTAAATCACCACAGTTTGGAAGTGAAGGAGCTCAAATTCCCGGAATCTCTGGTAAAAAGTTCCCTCGCCCAACAAGAACGACATTAATTTTAAACGCCCTCTTAAATTTCTTTATCCAGATTGGAGATTTCTGAACGACAAACAAGAAACTCGAAATGCACTTGAATTAATGAAAAGGAACGCTTTCTTCTTTTTTTCTTGTTCCTTTGAAACGTTGTTGGACCCTTTCAAGGACATATCCCACATTTTCATCATTATACAATCGTTCTTTACGACAAAAATAGAAAACAAAATTATTATTTTATACCACAATTAACTCGAACAATAATACGAGTGTTGAATTAACATTCACCAAGATCATTTGGGTTAGAGCAAACGCGGCA